TAAGAGGATGGTGGAGAACCCCCTGGCCATGGAGGAAAACCGTCAGGCCATGGAAGAGAATCGCCAAGTGGTGGCGGAGAACCGCCTATCCACGGAGGAGAGTTGGGATGAACTTGATAGATGTTCACATCAAACAAGTCTCAAACTTGCTTCTCTTAGTTCAACCTTATATAGAAGGTTGGACAATTATTTGAAGCAGTTATAAAAAATAAAAATTGCTTGGATAAATTTAAAAATTATTTTATAGAACTAGTGGTGTAAGAAATGTCTTTACCAAAAAATGGTATAGATCCGCCACCAAGTATTGCTACTAAGGATACAATTATTCTGGTGTCCAGACTGCCCAGCCACAGTCAAGGAACTTGTCGCTTCCGGTGACAAGTCAACCACCTTTTCTACGTGGTGGTTATGACGAGAGTCTCACTCACAAGTTCTCCACCCACGTGGAGCAACCGCTTGTGCAAGCTAGTGGAGATTTAGTTAATTTGGATCAACTACCACCACAAACTTGCCCACCCTCATCACCACCCCTATTCAATGGGTATGGTGGATGCAAACCGCCTAAGAGGCAGGAAGAAGGGCATGGAAGCCTACCACCTGACAACTTGAAGGTGAAGTGTCAGGCTCGGGGACACGTTGATGTTAAGGAAGGTATAAAAAGGGGTGTGTTCAAGAGAACACCACTTTCTTTGTCTAAGTGTGGCAAGGAGGGCACATCATCTACCATGAGGAATGGCATGGGAGGCATATCATCAACCATAAGTAGTGGGTTAACAGATGTGACCAAGAAACCACAACAAGCCCAAGCTACATGTGCTTCTAGCAAGAATGCTAGTGTAGCTAAGTGTGGCAAGAGGGGCATGTCATCACACATGAAGGATGGAGTGAGTGGAAAGTCTAAGTGGGTGTTGCATACCCATGCCACCTATGATTTTCATAACTTTGACAACGTGTCAAAGAGTGCACAAGGAGGCAATAACCCTTGTAGCATGCCATCCATGAAGGGTCGAAAAAGGGGCATATCATCAACCACAAACAATAGAAAGATACATGTGCCCAAGAAACCACAACAAATCCAAGCCACACGTGCTTGTAGTAAGTATGACAGTGCAGCTAAGCATGGCAAGGGGGGCATGTCATCGATGACAAGGAATGGAAAGATAGGCGTACCCAAGAAGGCTCAACGAGTCCAAGAGCATAATGATGTAGCTAAGTGTGGCAAGGGGCGTATATCTCCAGCTTCGTGTAGTAGAGTAGGGGGCATGCCATCGACCGTAAAGAAACGAGTAGGGGGGAAGTCTAGGAGTGTTGGAAACAATCAAGCCACCCAAAATTTTTCTAAGTATGAGAATGTGTCAAGGAGTGTGTGATGTAGCGTACGTTGTTGGAAGGAGGTTTATCGAGACTCGGTTATTCTGGGAATAACCGAGAAACGATGTTATGCGAGGAAGCTCCTCTTTTGTTCTATTATTATCAATAATAAGCTGATGAACAATAGACCTAGCGTTCTCTATAAATAAGGCTTACAACCAAAGCCTAATCCGAGTACAAAATTGAAAATGTGTGCCGACAAAAGAAAGGAAAATGCATAATGGTTCTTAAACAATAGAAAGAAACAAATGACAAAGTCTTCTACGTGCATGGATCCGCACCATTCCTCCCAGGGTAGAAAAGATTCGACCCTGAATCGAGCACGAACGACGCATCTTCAAGTGAGGAATTAGCAACATACAGAGCAAGGTGCTTCACATTGAACACGTCGGAGGTGCGCACATGGCTAGGCAAACGCAGGCGATAAGCATTGTAATTTATCTTCTCAGCGATCTCCACTGGGCCTATCTTCCTCGAAGCAAGCTTGTTGTAATCGTGCGCGGGAAAAGGGTCTTTGGTGAGGACCGCCCAGACGAAGTCAGCCACGCGAAACTCAACAGCGCGACGGCGATGATCGGCAGCAGTGGAAGCTACGAACTGGTCATGCGTCGTCCGGTGCACCTGGGTCAATTGGTTGACGAACTCTGCAGCAGTAACGTGATTCCAGACCTTGCTAGGGAGAGCGAGGAGATCAAGAGGCCCCCGAGGAGACAACCCGTAGACAACCTGAAAAGGGGGAAACCCGGTAGAGCGATTGACCGCTCGGTTATTCGCAAATTCAGCCTGCGCCAATTTCTGATCCCGAGCCTTGGGATGATCCCCAACGAGACACTGCAAAAGATTGCCGAACGACCGATTAACAACCTCTGTCTGTCCATCAATCTGGGGGTGGTAAGCACCACTAAAATTCAGCTACGTATTGACCATACGCCATAAACTCCGCCAGAAATGGCTAACAAACCGGGAGTCACAATTGGATACAATAGAAGCCGGAATACCATGAAGACGGTAGACATTCGGAAAGTAAAGATGAGCGACAGCCACAACATCCAACGTCTTCTTACAAGGAAGAAAGTGGGCCATCTTCGAAAATCAATCAATGACGACGAAGATGGAATCAAACCCTCACTGAGTGCGGGGGAGACCAAGCACAAAATCAATACTCACCTCGGACCATGGCTGCTCGGGGAGGGGAAGGGGTAGATACAAACCAACATTGGTCGAGGAGCCCTTGGCAAGTTGACATACTCAACAACGAGCCACGAAGCGGCCTACTTCCTTGCGCATAGATGGCCAAAAGTAGGAAGCAACGAGAAGCTGAATCGTGCGATCACGGCCCACATGACCCTCGTTGTGGAGCTCCTGGATAATCAACAAGCGCAGACTGCAATCCGAAACACAGAGCTAGGCCCCCTGGAATAGGAACCCGTCGTCTAAGAGAAAACCCGTCGTTTCACCCTGTTGGAGAAGTACCAGAATCTGGGAGAAGAAAGGGTCGTCCGCGTATAGCTCCCGAAAAGAGTCAATGCTCGGAACGTGCACGCAGAGCTCGGCGAGGAGGCCACTGCGGCGACTCAGCGCATCCGCCACCCCATTCGACACCCCTGCTTTATGCTTGATCACGAACGTAAATTGCTGGAGGTAGGAAATCCACGACACATGGCGGTGCGAAATCTTGTCCTGGCTGCCCAAATGTTTGAGGGAATCGTGGTCTGTATACAATATGAACTCACGGTGGAACAGATAATGTATCCAATGCTTGATTTCCTGGACCACGGAAGAAAACTCAACGTCATACGTGCTAAAACGGAGCTTGGCGCCTGACAGCTTCTCACTGAAATACGCAACGGGGCGGCCAGACTAAATAGGAACCGCGCCAATACCCTTATTTGAAGCATCACAATGAAGTGGCTGAGTGAAGTCTGGGAGAACCAGAATCGGGGCGGCAACGAGACGCTATTTAATTTCGAGGAAAGCTGCCTCTGCGTCGGGAGTCCACTGGAACTTCGTGCCGCGGATGCAATCCGTAAGAGGGGCCATGATCCCGCTGAAATGAGGAATGAAACGTCGGTAAAAACACGCGAGACCATGAAAGCTGCGTACCTTGGTGATCGATGACGGACGTGGCCACTATTCGACCACCTAAACTTTGCTTGGATCGACCCTGAGGCCGTCTCGTGAGACTGAATAGCCAAGAAACTGGATGGATGATGAGGGGAAGGTACACTTGGCTGTTGCGGCGTAGGACCAATAACATGTCACAGAGGTGCTCAAGGTGAGCTCGTTCATTCGTACTATAGATCAATATGTCGTCAAAATAAACGACGACGCACTTGCCAATGAAGGGTCGAAGAACTTGGTTTATCACGCGCATGAATATACTAGGCGCGTTGGATAGACCGAATGGCATAACAAGCCATTCGAATAATCCTTCCCGTGTTTTGAATGTCGTTTTCCACTCATCTCCCATGCGGATGCGAATCTCATGGTATCCACTCTTTAAATCAAGCTTACTGAACACCGAAGCCCTGCCAATTGATCGAGCAAGTCATCCAACCGAGGAATGGGAAATTGGTAGCCCACGGTGATCTTGTTAATCGTGCGAGTGTCAACGCACATGCGCCAGGTTCCATCCTTCTTCACTGTGAGTAGGGCAGGCACGACACAAGGGCTGAGGCTCTCGCGGACGTGCCCTTTGGCCAGAAGGTCCTCGACCTGGCAATGTAGTTCCTTGTGCTTCTGTGGACTTATACGATAATGGGGGCAGTTGGGAAGAACAACACCTGTAACTAAGTCGATGTGGTGTTGGATATCGCGCAGTGGAGGTAGCTCAGCTGGTAGATTCTCCAGAAACACATCAACAAATTCTTGCAAAAGGGGCTGTACGACCAATGGCATTGGGGTCGTCGTGGCACTGGCACTTAGCGAACAAAAGACGAAGAGAACCATGTCGGCTTCTCTCATGGCAAGCTGGAAGAGTCCGCTGGATAGTAGGGTCGTTGGGGACGATGTAGGGTGAAGAGAGGTAACCCCGCCCTTGGGTTTAGCAGGCAGCAAGAAAATTTTTGTTCCCCGAAAAAGTAACGAATAGGTGTTAGCTCGTCCATCGTGGAGAACCGAATTATCATATTGGTAGGGTCGGCCCAAGAGTAGATGGCAACATCCATAGGAAACAAGTCACAGTAGAAGGTATCCCGGTAGGTCATGCCCACCGAGAAGCTCACGAGTAACCATTTTGAGACGGTCACGTTGGTGCCCTTACTGAGCCATGATAGACGGTAGGGCTTAGGGTGTGGTTCTGGCGTCAAGCCCAGTTTCGCCATTGCTGTTTTCGCTATCACATTCTCACAGCTACCGACGTCAATAATGAAGGTGCAAACCTTGCTGTCGATAGTGCAAGTGGAGTGGAAGAGATTATTACGAAGCCATTCATGATCAGGGATGCGCGGAGTCAAGCAAGACCAACAGAGTACCAGTAGGGGGCCGACATCACCCGATACGAGCTCTTCCGTGTCATCATAATTTTCATAAACGGGTGGGGAGTCACCAAGGGGTTTTGGATCCGAAGTGTCTTTTTTGATGAACAGTCCGCGCATAATCTCCCTCGGATTTCTGCATTCTGACTGCTGATGCCCCGCTTCGCCGCAACTAAAACACCGCAAACCCCCCATACACTCGGCAGGTTTCCTGTCAAGTTCCTCAATGCAGGAGAATCCTGGGTTCCTCGATTCGACGGTGGGAGCGGTTCAGAGTTATTGGATGCGATGGTTGGTGGCCTGAAGTTCCCGCTGCTGCGTCAGGCCAATTGTTTCTCCGCTTGGGAGGCTCGCTGGTGGGCTTCCGCCACAGTCAATGGGTCGAACATATTCAATACGTCTTGGATTTGGAGTCGTAGGCCACCAATGTATCGCGAGCCCAGCTTCAGGAGAGATTCATTGATGTTTACTCGCGCTAGAAAGGAGTAGAACTCGCCTGAGTATTCATCGATAGTGCGGGGGCCCTGCCGCAAGTTCTGAAAGCGCTGGTACAGCTCTGGGTCTAAGTTATAGGGCAAGAATTCCACCCTCAAATGCTTCCTGAACTTGTTTCAGTTCAATATCTTCTCCTTACCCTGGCGCGCTTTCATGACGCAATTCAACAAATTCGGCATCTTCCGCGGTAGTAGTTGGCTTCTGCTTGCGGGGCGGCATCCCTCAGGATTAGTCGTGCTCTGATACCAATCTCATGCAGCGTACGTGGTTGGAAGGAGGTTTATCGAGACTTGTTGATTCTGGGAATAGCCGAGACACGATGTTATGCGAGGAAGCTCCTCTTTTGTTCTTTTATTATCAATAATAAGCTGCCGAACAATAGACCTAGCGGTCTCTACAAATAAAGTTTACAACTAAGCCTAATCCGAGTACAAAATTGAAAAGGTGTGCCGACAAAAGAATGGAAAAATGGATAATGGTTCTTAAACAATAGAAATAAATAAATGACAAAGTTTTCTACGTGCATGGATCCGCACCAGTGTGCAAGGAGGCAAATCCATGCTTAACAACCCTCATGGCATGCCAAACGTGAATGTCAGACAAGAGATCATGAATAAGAAATCTCGACACACACCAACCACACATGATCCGATAAAGGGACAAGGGTGGTTATCTGCTAAGTGTAAGGGTCATCAAGACATATGAGTTGAACCTGGTCAAGTTAGCCACAATGGTGACCATCAACTCTTTAAGTCCAAACACCCATCTTCTCAATCATATGTGAAGAGTAATCATGTGTCATAATGGGAGAAACTAAGGCAAAAGACAACTCATGATCTTGTTGATGACTCGAAAGAGTTGAAAATTTCTAGTACACCACCCGGAAGGAGGCAAGAACATTAGGTTCAATATCAACCCAACATGTCTAGTAAGGTGACTAAGGGAAAGGATAATGGGACCCCTTGCAAGCCCACCAAGACAGGACAATTTGAGAGGGTGCCATCCATTGTTAAGTTTGAAAATTGGAAACCAACACCCAAGGAGTTGTTTCCCCTAATGGAGGGATGGCAAGTAGTGTATGGATGGTTGGTCTGGTTTAATCCATGGACTTGGCAGTGCGAGTACACTTTTGGCACATTAGTGGTTGCCAAAAGGCATGGAAATCAGTGACTTCTGTCACACCTTACTATAAAAATTAAATAAAATAAAGATATAAGTAAAAATAAAAGAGAGAGAACAAAAAGAAAATCTCAAGCCAATCATGGCTAAAAAAGATATCGATGTGGCAAGGTGAGTGGTGAGTTGTAACACTTGCGATTTATGGAGCCTCCTACGCTCATGTGATTGGATCTATGGAGCCTCCTAAGCTCATTTGATTGATGGATACAGCATGCCACTTTCATGGCATGAGTAGTTGACCTGGTGTTCGACATGGATCGTTTACTATTTATGCCACCCAATTCAATGAAGTCTACTTGTGGAAGATCTAGTGCGTTTTGGTTTTTATTAATAAAACCAACGAGCATATTTTTAGTGTTGTAGTTGATGTTAACTACTTAGTCCAAAACCCTTATGCACTAAGTAGTTGGGGGGGGGGGGGGCATTTGTTAACCACTAAAAAATCACTCAATACCACATTGATTATTTTCAAGGTGTGGTAGTGATTTATAAGGCCAAATTAAGCACATTAATTAAATTGGCTTTAAGTTGGGCTTGAATTATGGAATTTTTGGGATCAACACACACCCTTTGACCCACCAAACACTCACCCCTCACACAAGGGGGTTCAAGCGCCAAACATTGACACCCTTCAATATCAACAACCAAGTCGACATGGTGGGGGCAAAATTTGGCTAAGTATGGAGACTCAGCCACCGGGGGGAGGGGGGGGTCAAGCATGACATCATCCAAGTGGGGTCATGCATGCATGACATCGTCCAAGGAGGGTCAAGCACCAAGTACCATGGTCGGCTACCTACCCTTGCACTCGGGTATCAAGCATATGGCCATGCTAGGAGTGTGATGTCAACTACCTGTATATGTGGCAAGGGAAGAAGGGCAACACGAGTCCCTAGACCTTGGTGACAAAGAAGGACAATATTGTCTAAGTGTTTAGACCCAACCACAAGGGGGATCAAGCATGACATCATCCCAGGTGGGTCAATGGTGATGTTATGCAAATGGGTCATCGCGAGTACCTCTAGACATGATGGGGAAAGAAGGCGAAAATTGGCTAAGTGTTGAGACCCACATCACAAGGGGGGTCAAGCATAACATCATCCCAGGGGGGTCAAGCATGATGTCATGCAAGTGGGGTCAAGCACTATGTTGTATACCTACCTTGCTCTAGGGTATCAAGCATGACGCCGCGCAAGGAGAGCTATCACGAGTACTCCTAGACGTGATGCGGCAAAAGAAGGTGAAAATTGGCTAAGCCTAAATATGGAGATCCAACCACAAGGAGGGTCAAGCATGACATCATACAAGGGGGGTCATGCATGACATTGTCCAAGAGGGGGTCAAGCACTAAGTACCATGGCCACCTACCTACCTTGCACTCGGGTATCAAGTATGATGCCATGCAAGGGAGGCCATCGCAAGTACCCCTAGACGTGATGGGGAAGGAAGGAAAATTTAGCTAAGTGTTGAGACCCAACCACAAGGGGGGTCAAGCATGACATCATCCAAGGGGGGTCTAGCATGATGTCATGCCAAAGGGGTCAAGCACTCAGGTATCAATCATGATTTCGTGCAAGGAGAGTTAACACGAGTATTCCCAGAATGAGGTAGGGGGTCAATCATGAAGTCGTGCGAGAAGGGACACCAAGCGTATGAATGCCTCTAGGACGTGGTGGCAAAGGAGGGGAAATTTGGTTAAATGTTGAGATCCATCCAAGGGGGGTCAAGTATGATGTCATGCAAGGGAGGTCAAGCACCAGGTACCTCACCACTCACCCCAAGCAAGGTCGTATGATATCAACTAAGGAGGGTTGCCTTTCTGTCGTTATGTATATCATCATATGGTAGACCACCTTGTCAAGACCCACAAGCATGACCACCCCAATGAGGTCAGTGTGCATCCATCAACCCTCCAAGCATCCTAGTGCCAAAGATAACGTCATGCAAGGGTGTCGCCATGAAGATACCATCATGGCACAAGGAGACCACCTACCAAGTGGAGTCATCAATTAGTCAAGATACCAAGTGGTCAGCAGGCCAGCAAGGTGGTTAAGACATCAACACAAGCTACATCAAGCACCAAGCATAGGAAGCAGCGGTTACAAGAAGCAATTACATAAAGGTTACAGGGGATGACTGTAAATAAGAGAAACGAAGACGAAGCAAGGGTTCCACAACCAAACATTTGATGCACAATGTCAAAATTTATCTTTTCTCTGCAACTTACCTTTTATTTTTTCGAGCTCTCACTGAACCTCCATAGGAGTAGAGTAACGTAACTTAGCTTGTTCCCAAAAAACCATAAAAAAACATCAAACACCCTCGCTCGAACATTGTTCGGAGAGGAGTGAACCGTGCTATTGTCGTTATTCAAGAAGTCAAAGGTGCATTTATTGAGTTCAAACACCAGTTTTTCCTCGTCGGAAAATAATAACACTTGGCCGAATAACTAAAATCGATAAACTCATAAGGGCTATACTAGCTCCGGATCCAGAGGAGGGCTGGGTCGTGGCACGGGGTGGCCACCCCCTTGATCCGCCACTGTTATTGAGTGATTATGAGTATGACGATGGGTTCAAATTTTTAAATTAATAATAGTGCAAGTCAATTAACTCATGTATATACGTAGACGACATGCATATTTATTGTTAACATCCTATTTGTTTTCTAAAATTACACAAGAAATTCTTAATGGATTAACTATGATGACGATGGAAATGGATTTCCTGGAGAACTTAAACCATTGAAGAGTTAATAGATAATTATATTTCAAATATCTTATAAAATGATATTATGGTCATTTTCATCTTATTGTACTTATAAAATGTGGACCACATTTCAATTTTGGAACATGGCCTCAACCATTTCCTGGACGATCCTAATGTTCACGCTATCTGGGAGAACCTCATATTCATTAGTAGCTAGCAAGAATTTAATCCATGTGTTTGTCAATTAACATCAACATTTCTTCTTTATGTATATCATGAGACTATCTACATCTGTTTTATATTCGAATCATTCGAATTACTATATAATTATATTATACTTAGTATATTTAATTGAGTATATAGAATATAGACTTCCAGAAATTAACAGTTTAGAACCAATGCGATGTATCCTGAAATCAACAGTTGCCTTCTCCAACAAGGTACTAGGAAAAGGTAGTTTCTCCAAAGAACCACCTCCAACAAGTAAAGATTAAGGACCACAATGTACGTGCTTATTGCACCAAACCCACGTATACCATTCCTCCTGCGTACCATATAATGACCTCAATTTCCTCCTCTAATTTCTGTGTGCTCTTACATCAGATTCCCCTTCAAAATGGTCGATCCATCCGCATTTATACATATGTCAAAATCATGCAAATGGAAAAAAGTGCGGGAGTTGGAGACCGACCCGAAAGTCCACAAATTGTATAATCAAACTCGAAAGTTGTTTCATCATGATTGATATTTTATTGTTCTCGATCCCTGGTGAGGAGGGTACTTTAGCATTTATATTATTGGTTGAAACCACTCCAACAATAACTACTGATCATTTATGCTCAGGGAAAACGAGGTTTCCCATAGAGGTGGCAATACCACAATAGTTACCTCAGAATAACTTGTGAATCATGCCATTAAGACATTAACATGTGTCTCGTGTTATTAACGTGGTTTGTCGGTTTTGGATGTCTTTCAGTAAGTGATTGGAGTCTGGTTCAGATCCAGGGCGGTGGATGTTAGTTCGGTGTAGCACTTGTTGAAATCGGATAACTCCACTAGTATGATATTGTAGGCTTTGGATCAAGCCCACACGACTTTACTCACGGGTTCCTTCTCAAGAGGCCTCGTACTAATTGGCAAGGTGAACACTAATATACTAGGGTCCCTTCCTTTGTATTTCCGATGTGATACTGGGATTGTTCCATAACAATCCTCTCCTCAAGACAATGACAACTAACTTTGTTTCCTTTCCTCAGCGATTATCTTGATTCTCCAAACACCTAGTATCAACTGCTCTTTGACATAAGAATTTACCATATGCACATCTCCATTGGTATGCCAGAAAGATGGAGATCTTCGTTAGATCGGCTAGACAGAAGCAAATCTTCCTAGACCCACCAAACATATGCAAATCTTCACTAGATCCACCAGTCAGATTGCCAAACGCAGATCTCCCTTGATTTGCCAGACAAATGCATATCAAATCCCGAGGCTTTCCGAATGAGGGTCCACCAAGCTTATGTCCACCGTCATGGTCCATGAAACGTACCGTACCGACGGTTCAACCACGAAATACTAATATCAGAGGCTAAACCAATAGGAGGTATTTAACGATACTAACTGTTGAAATACGGTTAAACCACGATTTTACCATGAAACACCCTACCGCTGACTTTCCTATTATGATCCCCGGTACGGTTTCATGGACCAGTGACCGCCCCGAATCAAAACCATGTTCTGATACTAGTTACTGAAAAAATAAAGCTCATTAGTACGATATTAATTGTCCATTTTGAGGCAAACCCACACAGATTTACTCTTGGGTTCCTTTTCAAGAGGCTTCGTACTAATTGGGCTAGGTGGACACTACTCTATAATGGTCTTTTCCTTGTATTTTTTAGGACTAATTTCACTAGGAAGCCCAAACTATTCAAAAAGTGTCATTTGTGGCCTAAACTATTCAATATGACAAATCTGGCCCAAACTATTTTTTTGTTAATGTTGACCATTAGTAGACCGTTAGTAGATCATAGAAAATGTAGTCAGCTTCTATCTGGTCTGGTTTGGGCCAGATTTGTCATATTGAATAGTTTAGGCCACAAATGTCACAAAATGCATATAGTTTGGGCCAGATTTGTCATATTGAATATTTAGGCCACAAATGACACTTTTTGAATAGTTTGGGCTTCCTAGTGGAATTAGCCCTATTTTTTATGTGGTACTTGGATTCTGCCCTAACCATCTTCCCCTTAAGACAATAGCCACAAACTGCGTGTCCTGTCGTCAGGGATTATCTTGATAAGCCATGAACTTTGTATCCGTAAACTCTTATCGAGGAAAGGATTTACCAGATGTAGATCCGCCAAACATATGTGAACCTCCTTTGATTCGCTAGACAAACACAGATCTCCTTTTGATCCGCCAAACATTCGGGAATCTTCCTTTATGCTCCAAACAAAGGAAAATCTTAAATCTCAAGGTTGCTGAATGAGGGTCCATCAAACTAAATTCCACCTTTCCAAATCCAAACTATGTACCACTTGTTGAAACCAAATAGCTCCACCAGTACGATATTTTGTAATTTAGGGCAAGAGTCCGCACGATTTACTCTTGGGTTCCTTCTAAAGAGTCTTTCTTTCACTCTTTTTTTTTATACTTTTTTGGTAGGATTCGTTTTTTTGTGTTGCATGACACCCAGGAAGACGTGTCCTCAACCGGATGGCTTCGGTCGCAACTTGCATTCAAAGACTCGATAGTTCGCGGGATTATGCAATTCACACCAAGTATCGCATTTTTTTACTTTTAACATAACATAAGAAAAAGGATTATTTTGAGTTGATTTATTATTATTTACAATTTGAGGGTTATTAGGTTATTCTATTCTTGGTTTTTCTCTATATATATCTCCCCGTATTAATTGAGTTAGGTGAACACTAATATACAATGATCATTCTCCTTGTACTTTTGATGTGGTAGTTGGATTGCACCCTAACATTAATGTTTTTTTTCTTGATGGACAATAGATTGTATTCCAATCATGATGATATCATGTATTGGTACTTGATTCGAACACAAAGTTATTGTCAATAGGGCTTGCAAACTAGCAATAAGCATGAGGTTCTAGCCTTTTTTTTTCCTTGTCTTAATAGAGATCTTTGGATCATTGATGTCATTGAAGTACAATCAAGATCTGAAATAAACATATTAAGATTGAATGAAGGATTATAGTATTTTAGTCCAATAAATATTGTAAAAAGTTCGGAGCACAATATCATCATGATTGGAATATAATCTATCGTCCATAAAAAAAATTTATGTTTTCAAGCCTCTGATGAAATGATGCAACCTCTTGACCATCTCAATGCATTAACTCGTGGCATAGATCCCTTAGTAAAAATGAGTAAGTCATGTGCGAAACTCAAAAGTGTAAGCTAAAGTTTGTGGCACTAAAGGTGACATGGGATTTGATTAAACCTAGTTGCCTTTTCAAGAAGACAAGAAAATACTTAGTTTGTGGCACTAAGAAAAACATCACCAAAGCCAGCCTCTTAGAGTAAAGTTTTATTCACTACAACAAATTCGGCCTATTATGACAAAAAATTTATTTTGTCATTTTGTGTTTGTCACAATAGGTACTGTGATATGACAAAAATAATATATGTCCTATTTGATATGCCTAATGTGACAAAAAGAATTTTGTCAGAATAAGTTGTCATTTAAAGTGAGTAATGTGACAAATATTTCGTGTCACAATTCATTTTGTCAATATCGGCGTCCCATATCAGGATATAAGAGACTCAACAATGACAAATTTCTTGTTATCAAAATAGTTCGTCATTTAAAGTGAGTAATGCGACAAATATTTCGTGTCATGATTAAGTTATCAAAATAGGCATCCCATATCGAGATGTAAGAGACACAAAAGTGACAAATTATATCTTCATAGTAGCTTTTGTCATATTATATCTTCCTGAATTGTTTAAATGACAAAGTATTTTGTCACAATAGATAGCAATAATCCCACGGCGAGCTGACAAAAGGGCATGTTCGTCATAAAATAGTGATTTCGACTTTGACAAAAGGCATGTTCGTCATAACATAGTGGTTTCATTTTTAGACCCCAATTTTCAGCCCGCCCAAAACTTAAAATTCCCTCTCCCCCAACCAAAATTTCAAGCTTCTTTCTACAGTCCCCCCAATCGACGTTTCCCCGCCCAAAATTTGACCATACCCCGCCGGCGAAATTTTTTCCCTAATCCCGCCCTTATTTACCCAGCAATTGAAAAAATTAAAAATCAAATCAACCACCCACCTGCCCCTAATTAATACCCATTTAATTTATTGATCCCTTTCCCCACTGCTTCTTCTTTTCTTCTTCCGCCTTCTATTTTTCTTCTTTCTTTTTCTTGTCAAACTAAAGCGATGGAAGAGGCAGGCCTCGCTCAGCCTCTCAATCTCCAACCCCGCCACCATTCCCAGATCAAGCCACTGACCGAGAGGTGAATCGGTAGCGACTTGATTGTGATTCCCTTCTTCCGCTGCTAGAGCAAGGCGGGGACCAGACCCTCGCTGCCTTTGCCTACTCAGAATCCCCTCCTTTTTGGCACTAGAGATGGAGGCCCGATTTCCGATCTATAAGAGGGCAACTTCTATTTCCTCCCTCTCCGCAAGCGTACTATGCCCTGTTTATTTGTTTCATTTACCCATTCTACACTTCATGCATTCAGGTTCCCTTTATTACCCAATCAAAACGATTCCCAGCAAAACCCCCAATTAGAAGGTCGTGAGTGAAGGTACGAACCCCCAGACTCTCGCATCCACTTCTTTGCGCTAGTCTTGTGTGGGTTGAACTTGAAACCATAGAATCCACAATCAAGAACCTCTTAATCCATTGTCTAGATCTCTCAATGTCGTTTCAGGTAGAAAAAATTCATATGTAATTGATTTAGGCTTTGTTATACTGGGATTCGAGAAATCAGGAAGGTGCTCATGAGGCGGGAGTTTTGCAGTGGGGAATCGGAAGAACAGGGTCGAAAAGCTTATAAGGACCATTGCTAGTGGGTGGTGGTGGTAAGTGATGGAAGGGATCTCGACATGTGCATAGATGGAGGTTTCGGGAGGCAAAGGGATAGCTACCACGATGATTATGAAGGTAACGACAAATGAGGATCTAGTTCCTTCCCTGTAATTTTATGGGGTTGCTTTTATTTGGTGTGTTCTAATTCCTAGCTTTTTCTAGGAGCGAGTATGATAAATGAAATACAAGGAGAGATCATGGAGTTATGGGGACAACTTGCCTTTGTCTTCCCACTAACGGGTTGTCTTTGTCTTCCCACTACCTGGTTGTTCTTTATTTTGTAACTTGTGTGACTCTTGTCTTTTTGGAACATGGTTACTTAGTTTTGTCTTTTGAGGAAGGAGAGCATACATGGTACTAACTTTATTTTATCTTAAATTTTTTACAGAAGCCAAGAAACAAGGAGAACATTGGCGCATAAGAATTCACTTTCGTGTGGAACTATTAATCACTTTCTTATTGTACATTATGTTTCATATGTTATACTTTGTGCCAAAGTATCTGTTGCTGTGCTCCCTCCAGTTTCTTGGCTTATGTGATATCTACATTTTAGCTTTCCATTTGTCTTGCCATGATTGAATTTTATTGGCATAGGAAAGAACATTCAGAACCTGAAACTGAGATCAAGGTTTACATTTTGACCTGAATTTTCCTGGCATAGGATAGCGTTTTCCGAAGTGTGAAAACCAGGAGCTTCATTACTGAGTATCTTCACTGTGAAGCCTGGCGATGCAATCTATTTGGATAGAAGCAAAGGTAGAGGGGAAGCCTGTACGGTCGTGAGATTGTTCAGAAGGTCCCGAAGAAAAAGGTGAAGTATGGACCGAAAGAGAATCCAAGATCCAAAAGGGAGTTAATTAGAATGTTTTGTGTCATGGTGAACATCTTAGAATGTTTGGTTATGTTGAACAAGGAGTTAGACTGCTATGGAAATGTTTGTAAATTTTTGGATCTTTGGTAATCTTTCCATTATCATGTTGCAATGCAGGAAACTATTTCAAACTATAAATTTTTGAAGAAGGTCAAATGTGACAAAAATGTCATGTTGTCACATTACGTATTGCATGACAAATTGTTCTCTTGTCATATTAGACATGAAACAAATAACCCACCTTTCCTGACAACCTATACTCGAAAAAATAATGTTGTCACAATATACAATTATGAAAAAATATAATCGTGTAATATGACGAACAATTCTCCCAAAATCACAAGATTATGAAAACCGTAATGACAAAATATGTCGTCATAACATCTCTGTTTGTCATAATAGACTACCCAAAACCTCAGCTATACTAAAAGCAAATGTGACAACCTTGTTTTAAATTTTTGTCGCATATGACCTATCCCGACGGCGATGAAATGACAAACCTTTGTGACAGCACGGGTTGTCATATTATAGCTAATATGATAAAATGAGTATTTACTATGACAAAATTGTCTCGTCATAGTATGCCGAATTTTTTGTAGTGATTGTATTTGTATACTGTGTGTCAACAAGAGGTGTGACTAAAATTTTATATGTTTATTTCCAACATTCATAGTCTTAGATTTAAGTGTTATAGTCATATCGTTCACTTCACCTATGAGAGCACCAGATGCGACGAAATTGAGAACTACTTCAATGACATGCTCTACAATAGTTTACCAGAAACTTCCTCATCCACACATTCTAATCGACCTATCAAATGGTTTGATTGGTGAGCTGTGTTAGAAGTTATAGAATTAAAAAGGTAATTAACTGATAGGGTTATTAGGTGGCTAGTATATATATGTTGATTTAGCCGTCCTTGTGATATAAGTTGTACCAAAAATAATATGAAAACTCTCTGCCTTGTGTCGTGGACGAGTCTCAACATTCTACGTTGAGGAAACCACGTAAATCTGGTGTTCACGTTGTGATTGTGATCTCGTTTATTGATATGGTATCAGAGCCTCTCAATCTATGACTTCGAGATTTGCGTTTGTGGTGTTGCAGCTATCGTGCAGATTTCTTTTTGTTCGTGTGAGGGTTCTGTGCGGCGCTGAGTTTATTGATCTGGGATTTCTTTGTTTCGTGTGATTCCGTGGGTTCCTGGCATTGCTGGTTGTTCTGTGCGGTGTTGTGTGCTTGGGATTTCTTGTCTTTGTATGCATCAATTGGGATTTTTGCGCTAGCAAAGTTTTGTCCGCTCCCTGCTTGAAATTTCTTGTCTTTGTGTGTGCCAAGAAAGTTTTGTCCGCCAGCTGTGTCCTTTGCTTTGCGTTTGGTTTTCTTTTTTTACTTTCGCTACTGCTCGTGTTCTTTGCTTGGTTCTGTGATCATGGGGGGTTCGAAAGGGGATGCTATTTATGTCCGGTTCAATGGTAAGAACTTTTCTCATTGGGAATTTCAATTCCGCATTTTTTTTCAAGGACGTTGATTGCTTGGTATTTTGGATGGCACGACTCTGGAATCTGCAGCGGATGCTTCGGCCAAGGCTAAGGAGTATTGTGAGGTGAACAACTCTTCTATTATGACCTAGCTTATTGGTTCCATGGATCTGGGCATCTCGCTGAGCTTGTGGGGGCTCTCTACGGCATCGGGGGCGTGGCAACATTTGACTTCTCTATATTCGAAGGCTAGCGCCTCGAGGGAATTAGATTTTGATCTGGATCTCGCTAACCTGAAGCAGGGAGATCGTGATTTGAGCACTTATTATCAGGATGCTATGACTCTCTGGACTGAGCATGATCTTTTAACGAGTTCCTTGGTGTCTGCGACTGCTTCCACTGAGGTTCTTCGCGAGTGTACTGCTTTCCGGGTCATGCGCTTTCTCATAAATCTTCGGGCTGAGTTCGAGGGTGTTTGTGTTTCTCTCCTGCACAGTATTGTGGATACTATGGAGGAGGTTCTCCCTGCTCTTCTTCGTGAAGAGACCTGCTTATGCAGTCAATCCAAGCTAGATATTCATGCTCATGAGAATGCTAATGCATTTGCGGTTCATGGTAGTAAGCCTAAGTTTCATCGTACTTCCAAGGGTGAGATCATTTGCCACTACTGCAAGGAACCTGGTCAGATTCAATTTCACTGCTAGAAGCGCAATTCTTGCAATTATTGTAATCGATTCACTACTATCGATTGAAGAAGCTCTAACAACTTAATCAGATTCTATCTATCTCAGGTTGCAGCAGAAATCAATAAAGGATGATCAGGCTTCAATTGATTCAATCAAAACACTTCAATCGGTTATAATCCAACAATATCACAATCCAAAAGTCGTTACAACAATGATCCCTAACACATAGAACTAGGGTTCTTCATACCCAAGTGAGAGAGGGTTCTACACCATAGAGAGAGAGAGAGGAAAACGGCAAACAAAGCAGTCATACTCATCAAGATGGGAAGAATCTGCTCTGGGATGATAATCTTCACTCCAATGATGATTTCCAAGCTTGATTGATGAAACCCAGCTACAAAACCACTCTTAGGGGGTGTTCTTCGCACTTTCTCTCTCTAGAGCTCTGTTTTTGCTCCAAAAAGTCGATTCTCTCTCCTTTGACTCGAAATTGGGTTAAAACCCAGAAATTCCCGACCACACGGCCAGGCCACACGGACGTGTGGAAATTCCAGCTGCCCGTGTGGCCATCAAAACACCGCGTTTCGATTAAGTGACTTCCAGGCATGCTGCACGGGCAGGGACACACAACCGTGTGGATTTCCAGGCTGCCCGTGTGAGCTCCTTGGACTTTCCATACGGCCACAAGGGGTCCCCTACACGGCCAGTGTGGCTTGCCCGTGCAAAATGGTGCCACACGACCAAGTCACACGGTCGTGTTGGATTTTAGGCGTGCCCGTGTGGCTTTCCCAGCTTCTCGCCAAACGTCCAATCTTCGTCCAATCGACACAGAACTCGTTCCCAAACCTTCATTCACGTACTAGGAAATGAAATATCACAAACAAGAACAACCTAGCGTAAAATCGGCCTAAAACACGAGAAAGAAGACTCGACGGTGTAAGAATGGTGGACAAAAACATGTGTATATATCAAGTCATCAAATTCCCTCACACTTAATCGTTTGCTTGTCCCCAAGCAAACCAAGTCAGACACGAGGTAAGCTCAGCATATTTCAATCATACCAACATTGGGGAAAAATCATATTGGAACAGAACACGTGGATCATACTGGCTTTTGATCATTGCAAAATGGACAACTCAACAGCAACCTAGACAACCACCACAGAGAACATTTGAGTGCAGCAAAATCGGGTAAAGGAAGAGGAATCCTTTCTGTTCACCAATCAACATAGACTTGACTCAACCACTTGACCAAGACAGTCACCTCATGCACAAAACTCAAGATATAAGAATTGAGACGGAGCAATCTAGGTCCTCACCGGGGTAAAGAGTATAGAGAATAGGAGAAAATGAATTGCTCACTCTCGACCAGTGGGGTCAGGACAACTTTATGCGAAAAATGCGCAAGCTTATTCTCTCAATGCCTAACGTCTCTTCACCATGAAGGCAGCCTCTAAATGTTAGAGTTCACGTATGGGGTGTCACCACTAACTAATCCGGAGGTCTTAGACACAGGTTCAGACTGGCTAGGGTCTTGGACATGGGGAAAATGCCTTTTAGGTGGTGGAAGTATTCATAGCACAAGGTTCCACATTTCCCAACCCAACACAATCACAGTCAATCAAACCACTTACTTTCTTTCTGCCATTCTGCATTACTCACATTCTCTAAAGCACAAGAGCGAAGGAGGTCACAAAAATGTTAGTATTTCCAAGCCAGGCTACTAAGAAACACTACTTAATGGACACTATTCAGATTTTTGGTGGTGGCTCTCTTTTGCTTTCATTCCTCCTTTTTTTTTTTCATTTCTTGAGAGAACCACCACCTCTGCACATTTTTCAAACACATGCCCAATTTTTAAGCATTACCTCCAACCCTCACATTATATTTAATAGAAACAGCAGAAAACATGCAAAAACCACTCAGTGGAACCTTCTAAGAGATGCAAAAGGGTGATTTTCCATTGTAGACCGAAAGAAAGGAAAGTACACGGCTCAAAGGGGTTGACTAGGGGGTATGACACACCAGGACAGTCATCAATTTGGTCGTGGGCTATTCCTATGCCTGCATCATCTTAGCTAGTAACGACGTGAATGCTACACATCATGGAAGAGGGATCTATCGCACAAGAAAGAAACGAGCAGGATCAAATCTCACATGGCTACCTATATTCTCTATCTCTCATTCTGATCCCCTGAACTAGATGCATAAACGACTGTCAAGAGCAAGTGATCAATCCAGGTCACAGTTGGTAAGCAAACAGTTGAAAAACTGAACCCCTACACAATTCTACTGCACGTCTTAGTCATCATCATAGGTTGTCCTAGTTACAATCAAGTTGTCATGCAAAATTCTAAAGTCATTCGATTCACCAATCAAATCACATTGCCAATTTGATCATGCAAACAGCGATACTTGACGCCCTCAAATCTCGAGATTTGTACAGCAGACTAGGCTCCAAGCACACATATATAGATTCCAACCGAGACAAAGCACCCCCCACACTTAAGCACGACATTTCCCTCAATAAAGCAGAGGGAGAGATAAGGGGAACAATGTTACCGGATTGAAATACTGCCGGGAGACTGGAAGTCGGACCAGTTCGCAAGACTAGAGTCATCAAAACACACTGGGTGATAGAAACCATAGTTCCAAGTGGACAAACCAAAAACAAACGAAAGGAAAACAAACCTTGGTGGAGTTGCCTCCCCACAAGCACTTTTTTTATGTCTTTAGCTGGACGGTGGCTCCTAAGTTTTAGTCCACCCCAGAACCTCCTTGAAGTTGAGGTTCTCGTCGATTATGTGGAGTCTCAAGTCACAACCAGGTGATGTTATAGGTGATGAAGATGGCTCTTGGCCTTGAGGAAGATGAAGTCTCCACTCTCGAGACCTCTCCTTCGCGTTTGCTCTTGTCTCATTTCCCCAAACCAGATAAGATATCATCGATTGACCACTGTCGCATCCACCAAGAGGGATTGATGTTGATGCGGTAAGCAGCTCCTCGAAGTTTGGTGGAGATATCACATGTAACATAGGGTCAGTGCAAGCCTCTTCCACCTCAACTTCATCCTCATCCTGGACGCCAATTGCTTCCTCAACCCCCCCCCCCCCCCTTCCTTCTTCAAAATGTGGTCTCTCCCCTTGGAAAAGATCAAGAACTTCCTCTTCTTTGATTTCTTCCTCATCCTTCACAACTTCTTCCCTCGCCATTTCTCGCCGTTCTTCTTCTAGCACAGATTGGAGAGCAGTCGCCATGTAATTTCTTCAATGAGATCATCTTGCATCTCCTCGCTCGGGCCCAGCATATCAGAGCGGAAATGGTGACAGTTGTGATCTACCACTAGAGGATATACTTGATCATGATTATCATGGGAGCTTTCCGTGACAACTTCTGTATGCTCCTCAACATCCTCATGATTACCTTCTTCTTCCTCCTCCTCTACTTGTATGGCAGCATAAAGGTTATCTTGAGAAAACTGTGCACAAGTTTTCTCAATGACCTCTATGTGCTTCTTTATGCTCCGAAGGGTATCCTCTGTTTCACAGGGAAAGGAGAAGTCAGTTTGGGCCATGGCCTGGATATGAGGATCCATCTCAGGAAAGGATCTCTCAGGTACTCGAGCAATCTGCTCCACGAGAAGCCTCAAGTGATAGTTTGGATCTGGCTATGGAGTGTAGCATGGCTCTGCCGGATGGCCCGTGAGGGCTGTGGCTAAATCAAGATCTGATGGCCCTTCTAGTTGTGGGAGGAATTCTTCTTGATAATGAGATTGTTCTTGAAATACCCAAGGGTCTGATTGTTCTTCGCAGTAGGGGGGTTGGTACTGAAACCCGACTCCATAGTCTTCTCTTCCTTGGGTGCTCCAGGAAGTCTCGGGGTAATACCACTCGGGTGGTGGTGGATACCCCCAATGGTTGGACAAGCCTTGAGAATCCATATATCAGATCTGCACCAACAAAAACAAAATACCCAAGTTAAAAGCAAGGGTGGAAAAGAGAGGATGCATAAAAGTAAATGCTCAAGTAAAATACTTTCACGTTTCTACAATAACCTAGAGTTCCCCGACAACGGCGCCAAAAACTTGACATGCTAAAACACAACACCAAACTACGACCAAGTGTAATCGCAATCTGGAAATGCAGTAACAGGCAAGCTCTAATTGTCAACCCGGGGTCTAGATCTACTCCTACTCCGTGAATATCTGTTATCTAGCAAACTAAGTTAAGTGATTGTTGATTAAAGTAAAAAAGTAAGAAAGCAGGAAATGGTTCGGTTTTCTAAAGCAAAGGCACTCGGGAATGAGTCCCTCTAACTCCTTATTTAGGTCATAGTTGTAATTACTTTTAGTTGCTTCACTGTTGATTATACTGCGGAAGATCCGATAGTAGCTTGGAATCTCTTAAGCTGGCCAAGCCCTCTCAGTCAAACTACCCGGCAGAAGACTAGTCTTCACCGGGATAGAAAGCTGAGGCTATGAACACAGAACTCCACTACTGGAACCAAATTCCAGTACAAAGCAGTGAATCGACTAACTCTCGTAATACCGATTCCCTACTACCGATTGAAGAAGCTCTAACAACCTAATCAGATTTTATCTATCTCAGGTTGCAGCAGAAATCAATAAAAGATGATCAGGCTTCAATTGATTCAATCAAAACACTTCAATCGATTATAATCCAATAATATCACAATCCAAAAGTCGTTACAACAATGATCCCTAACACATAGAACTAGGGTTCTTCATACCCAAGTGAGAGTGGGTTCTACTCCATAGAGAGAGAGAGGAAAACAGCAAACAAAGCAGTCATACTCATCAAGATGGGAAGAATCTGCTCTGGGATGATAATGTTCACTCCAAGGATGATTTCCAAGCTTGATTGATGAAACCCAGCTCCAAAACTACTCTTAGGGGGTGTTCTTCGCACTTTCTCTCTCTACGGCTCTTTTTTTGCTCCAAAAAGTAAATTCTCTCTCCTTTGGCTCGAAATTGGGTTAAAACCCAAAAATTCCCGACCACACGACCGTGTGGAAATTCCAGCTGCCCGTGTGGCCATCAAAACACTGCGTTTCGATTAAGTGCCTTCCAGGCATGCTGCACGGCCAGGGACACACGGCCGTGTGGATTTCCAGGCTGCCTGTGTGAGCTCCCTGGACTTTCCACACGGCCACAAGGGGTCCCCTACACGGCCAGTGTGGCTTGCCCGTGCAAAATGGTGCCACACAGCCAAGTCACACGACCGTGTGGGATTTTAGGCGTGCCCGTGTGGCTTTCCCAGCTTCTCGCCAAACGTCCAATCTTCGTCCAATCGAGCCATAACTCGTTCCCAAACCTTCATTCACGTACTAGGACCTGAAATATCACAAACAAGAACAACCTAGCGTGAAATCAGCCTAAAACACGATAAATAAGACTTAAACGGTGTAAGAATGGTGGACAAAAACATGTGTATATATCAAGTCATCAGGCAGCTCGCAGATGATGGTTGTCGGGTCATTTTTTATGCCGCTGGGTGTACTGTGTAGGACATGAGGACATGGTGGCGATCACTCACATGGGATGAGGTCGTTGCATGGGTGTTGTTTTCAGTGCTTGTTATTTTGATAAGATGGGATTTTATGTAGCATTATCATACTAGGATTTATGGCATTTTAGACCGGGTCATCCTCATTTTGTGAGATTCCGTACTATGTTTCAGAATAAATGGTTTTCTGTGAATATTTCTACTGAAACGGATCATGAATGTTTTCATTGTTTGCAAGCTAAAATGTCACAGAATTCCTTTTCTTCTAGTACGATAGTTTGTTCAGAGCCGTTTGATCTGGTTCACACAGATCTCTGAGGTCCCTTCCATGTGACTTCACATCTTAGTTTTTGATATTTTGCTTTGTTTATCGATCACGCTACTCGATATGTGTGGGTTTACTTCCTCGACATAAATCTTATCTGTTCTCTGCGGCCAGGGAGTTCTTCCAGCACTTTCATGTCTTCTCTTGGTGACCTAAGTTCGAGTTCCTCCATATCGTCCTCGAGCTCCTCTAGTTCTAGTCCTGGTGAGTCTTCTCACACCACGACATCTCAAGCTTCTATTTCATTTCATCTTGAGGACGAGAATGCTCCCCAGCTCCGCTGGTCTAACCGTATCACTAACGGGAAGCCGTCGGGCCGTCACTATGATTTTGTGGCATTTTCAACCCCATCTATTGTAGTTAGCTGATATACAAACAGGCAAAAGGGTCCTGAGGAGTGGGAGCGCGCTATGAAAGTGGAGAGTGATGCTCTTAATGAAGCTCATACTTGGGACTTGGTTCCCCGTCGTCCTGAATATGCAATCATAGGCAGTAAATGGGTTTACAACATAAAGAAGTTTCCGGATGGTACTATTGAACGTCATAAAGCTCGAGTGGTAGCGTAGGGGTTTCGTCAAGAGTGTGACATCGATTATGAGGAGACCTTTGCTCCTATTCTGAAGATGCAGACTGTTCGCAGCTTGTTAGTTGTTGCAGCTATGAAAGGGTGGCCGTTAACTCAGCAGGATGTGAAGAATGCATTTCTTCATGGTGATTTTAAGGAGGTGATTTATATGAAACGACCACCAGGCTATACAAAGGATGACAACTCTAGGGTTTGTCTTCTTCGTCGATCTTTATACGGCCTCAAGCAGGCACCCAGGCTTCGTTTGAGAAATTTTAGGAAACTATTATGTAGGTTGGGTTTGTTCAGAGTACTAGTGATCCGTCACTCTTTCTTCGGACTACTGTTCGGGGGCTTAATGTTATTTTAATCTATGTGGATGATATGGTTATTAGTGGGGATGATGTGGAGGGATAGATGAAGAAACACAAGTGATGCGCTCGGTACTCTCTCTTACTTCCTGGCTTTAGAAGTTCATCGTTCGCCATTGGGTATTCATGTTAGCCAACGAAAGTACGTGCTGGATTTACCTTATGAGGCGTAGATGGATTAGTGTATACCGTGTGCTACTCTGATGGAACATAAACTAAAGATTCAAAAGGCTGAAGGTGAAATCCTATCGGATGGATCGTTGTATCGCAACATTGTGGGCAGCCTGATCTACTTGACTCACAATCGGTCGGAAATATCCTACGCAGTGTAGATCGTCAGTCAGTTTATGTCAGCTCCCCGGTTCACTCATTGGTCTGCAATTCAACGGATACTGACATATCTTAAGGGTACCACTGATGTTGGGTTATTGTTTCCGGCAGGGGGGAACATGTACTTGAGGCTTATTGATAGACCAATAATTTGAACATGTTTTTACCCCTATTCTTGAGCCGTTTGAGATGTTGATTCTTGTGTTTTAAGTCGATTTCATGCTAGGTTGTGTGTTTATGTCATATTTCAGGGCTTGGCGTTGGCATCGAGGCGAAGAAACGAGTTCGGGTCGAAAGGAGCACACTTGAGTTGAAGTGTGCTGAAGGAGCAAAATACCCGGCCATGAGCAAAAATACCCGGTCGGGTATTAATCTGCGCAAACCGGGGAAAATCTCTTTTGGGCGTTTGAGAAGCAGAAGGGGCCCCGGGCATTGAGCATAAATCCCCGGACGGGTATTCTTGACCTTGAACGGGATTTAATCCCCTGCCTCGACGGTGCATTTCAACAATCCCCGGCTGGCCACGTAAAATACATGACAGGGTATTCTGATTGGGGATCGCGAACGCAGGCTGTTAAAAGCCTGTTTTGTGCGTTTTTGCAAGGGGGGAGCTGGGTTTTGGATCCCAAACACCCAAGGGACGAACCTCAAAGAGAAAGAGGGCGATTTGAGGGCATTCTTAGAGTGGAATTGGAGGATTTCTTTGCCTTGGAAGCTCGAGGAACAAGTCCGGACTTAAAGACAGATCATCTGAAGATTCTCACTGCAGTCTCTTTCTTCTCTATGGAGTAACTTCCCTTCACTTAGGTTTTGAGGAACCCTAGCTATGTTTGTTTGATTGGATGATTGTATGAGTACTCCCACTTGATAATCTTGAGTTCATATTCAATCTATGCACGTTTTCATGATTCAATTCTGCTTTAGTCGAGATTATTGATTCTGCTTTGATCATATGAGAGCGAATACCTGATTAGGTCAATAGATCACCATAGATTGATAGTATTGGATCGATTGCTTTAGTCGAAGGTTGATTCAATGCTTTGTATCGATTGAGAACCTCATTCGATAGAGGGAATCTAGTTCAGAACGCCTTGATCGGTTGTTCTAGAGAAGGATACGTCCCTCTAGGCAATCGACTCAAGAGGGCCTTGATCCTTTAGTCGAGATTCAAGGTTTAGTCAACGATTCTCCGCATTGTGAATGAAAGTGAAACAAGTTAGAGATCATCAATCATTAATCTGGATAGTGGCTAGGGGGAATCATACCTAAGTGAGTTCCCAACCTGTAATTAGATTAACTTTAACTGTAGTTTGTTAGAGTAGTTTTAGTTCTTCCATCTTAATCTGGTTTGCTAGTTAATGAAATGAAGCTGAGTAATAGTAACTCTAGAGACCCGTGGATTCGATATTTATTACTTGAGCCACTATACTGCAGTCCCTTTCATTGGTTACACTTGGCCATTGTTAGGATTTGTGTCATAGCTAACCACTATGCTGATGCAGACTATGCAGGTTGTCTGTATACTCTTCGTTCTACGTCGGGGTGGTGTGTGGAAGTTGATGGAGCTTTTATATCATGGAGATGCAAGAAACAAGACAAGGTGTCCAAATCTTCTATCGAGGCAGAATATCAGTCGATGAGTGAAGTAGCATCGAAAATCACTTGGCTTTGTCGGCTCCTATCCGAACTTGGGGTGGTGGTGCGCAGTCCAGTGAGGTTACAGTGGAGCTTGCATATATTACATCAGAGGTTTCTAGCACACAAATTGATGTTGCGCAACCATCATCAATTTGAGGGAGGGTGTTAGAAGTTATAGGATAAAAATGTAATTAACCCATAGAGTTATTAGGCAGTTAGCTAGTATATATATGTTGTGATCTTGTTTATTAAGAAGCTCGTGTTACAATTATCACATGCAGGGGACTTTGGGGTGTCCGGGACACCGTTAAATTTTGGGAAAACAATTATCCAACCCCCAGTTGTAATTTATGTATGGACAAAAAATTATAATTTATAGTGAGGGACACCTCTGGAATTCGAACAAAATGATTATCCTATTCTCATTTTCTAGTTTGCGTATGAGAATATAAGTGGTAGGTTGGATAATTCAAACCTAAGATACCATTATTATTATAGGTTACAACTCATTTGTCGTTCGATTTTAAACACTGTGTAATAATAAAATGGCATTCCCTAATTCTCATTATTTTCAAAATCGAACAATTAAAGTAATTTCAACTAACCTTAATTTGCATTGATTTTATTGTTATACGACAAGTGTTGAAAGAGTCTTTTCAACTTTGGGTTATATCAAGAACAAGTCTAGAAATCAAATATACGATCAATTCGTGAATGACTGTCTAGTAAGATATACATATACATTTTTTTGAGCAGTGTAGTCGTAGACACACAGTGTATTATACAATTATTTCCGATTATTAAAACATATCGTGGACGTTTTTAACTTGTACGAGTCAAGTATTTTCTAATTTAAGAATTATTTCATTATTATTAAATTTATTTTTTAAAAGAAGACACTCTTATATAAAATTCCTGGATCCGTCACTAATCACATGGTCGCCAATTTAGCATCATCGTTTTGATTAGTGTGTGTGCATACGTTGTAATCAGTTTCTTGCAATATACACACAAAGACCACAAGTGAAACTCTTGATGTTTTGTGATTTGGCCTGCAAAGGTCGTGTATATCGTTATACTTCATATATGCTTTTTCAGCAATACCTATTAAAAAAAAAACACTTTATGTTATTCAATTCAAAACCTTTGATCGAACTGCAAAGAGCTCATAAAATTATGGTTAGTCACGTCCATTCACGAAACCTATCACTCAAACACTCTACTATGTGTCGAAAATCCGTTCATCTCAATAAAAATTAATCACACCACCCCGATATCATTCAGTTGATGAAATAGTAGGATGGTTTTTGCATAAAGCATTTTTGAACCTCACCAACATTGAGCAATAATGCATCCACATCAAAAGGGGGGAAATCATGCATAAAATATCTTCTTGATCCGGTTTTTCTCAAAGTTTCAACCACTGCAGAGAGATTATATTAATTGATTTTGATAATCTGTTAATCGTCAACATTAAGTGTCTTTCTTCTGGTGGTGGTCCTGTGTGAGGAAGTTGACCTGTTCATTCAAACATTGCTCCTTTCTACTTTTCTTTTTCGCCTCCATTTTTATAAGGGGAAAAAGCTTAGATACGTCCATGATAATGTTGGGTTTTTATATTAGAATCCAACGGAGCCCCAGGTCCCATAAATATCTCTCTCCCACGTCAACCACCTAAACAGACACTATATACCAAAGTAATGTTTTCTTAATTGCTCCAAAGAACAGGGCTTAGGAAATAACGAAAAAACCAAAACTAATTGAGGTGCCACCAGATCGTATAGTGGAAAATATGATTGTAGGATTGCACATTAGCTGTAATTGGTTAGTTGGCAACCCTTTTCTGGGTTTGCAGGAACTAGGCGTTTAAGCGACTGGGTTGTACCCAGAAATGGAAAAAGTTGCGAGCTTTATCAATTTCTCGCCATGCCTATGGGCTATGGGGCACTTTGTGACATATTAGTCTCCATCAAAGTCTCAGAGATTTACCCTGAAACAAAATGTCCGTCAACCCCAAGGCATGAGAATATAAGAAGACAAGTCAGCAAGAAAATGGCAAATATAGAGCTAAGAGAAGAAGAAAGAAGAAGAGGAGGCTCCTCTTAGGAATTTTGTTCACATAATGATGCCCCCCCACTGTACAGAAGATACCCAGAAGTTCGATAACCTTAGGAGCCATGGAAGAAGACGATTAATCAATCAAGAACTACCTTATAATCGAAACAAGCAGAAAGCTTTCCCTTTTTCTTTTTCAGTTGCGGCTGAAGCAGAGAGCCCAAACTCTGCTTTTCCCCTGTTTTGTCTGTTACTCTGTTTCTTTCATCAGCTCAGTAAAGTTTGGTGCTGGCTGATCTGGAGTACTTCTTAGAGGCAGAGGGAGAAGAAGAAAGCTCTCCGGAACGCCTCCGGAGCATCTGCCTCATACCGTCGGCGACTTGAACCGCCGGATTAGAATTGAATTTGCCGCAGAAGGACATGTGAGCTCTGACGGCTTCTTCCATCATCCCAGAGGAAGCAGCTGCTGACTTCTTGGCTTTATTGCTATTCTTCCCTCTGATGAGTTCGTCTCTAACCGACTCTGAGCACAGCCCGCATAGCCATTTACCGTAGAATGTGTCTCTAACTTGAGTGATGTAGTCTTGGGTGCAGTCTTCTTCCAGCCCACAACACTCGCACCTCACTGATTCGATCTCCATCCTCTCTCTCTCTCTCTCTCTCTCTCTCTCTCTCTCTCTCTCTGTTTTGGTATCTTCAAGTGGTAACTCGATGGAAGAGAAGAGGGTATTGGGCGAGGTAAAGGAATCGAGAAATGATTACTGGGGAGCTTTTGGGTTCTGGGCTCTGTTTTCTTTTGCTCGGGATATGATTTGGAAATTGGAATAATAGAGGATTAAAAAGAAAGTGGGGTTTTCTTTGTGGCAATCTTCGTGGCTATGCCTTTTGTAGCTTGGAGTGGTGGAAGGGGGCGTGCGATCGACGGGCAAAGTTCTTGGATTTTGTTTTTTAAGGGGTTGAGAGAGAGCTTGGAATGAGGAGGAGAAGTGAGGTTCAGTAGCAGGAGAAAGGGAAGGAAGAGAGGCGTAGGGAGGAGGGGGAGGGAAGCTGCCATAATTTCCTCAATGTTATAATGGACATGGAGCAGTGGAAATTGAGGCGAGTAGGTCCGATGGGGTCCTTAGAATATGGCCCCCTCTAATTTAGTTATTTTCTTCCCACTCTAGCAAGAAAGTCTAGTCACATAACAACACACTAACACATTAGATTATCTTACATAACGATGTATTTTACTATGAATTCGGACTCTACTATATAGATGACTTACCGCATTAGAATAACACTAGTTTTTTGGCCCGCGCTTTGCAGCGGGAGAAATTAATTACATTTAAAATTTCATCCACATATTTAATGATGTAGTAATTCATAAAATTTGAGTAAGATATCACTATATGCTCAACGTAGTATCTAAATCATTACTAATGAATTATGCCATAAGTTTGTTCAAGTGATACATAAGAAATATCTATTACTCCATAAGTTTAAGGTAATATATTTGTAATCTACGTAAATGTTAATGAAGGGTGTTATGTAAATATTCTATAATGTGTGGTCTAATAATAAATTAAGTTATGAAAAATATCACATTTGATTGAATTGTCATGTAAAAATGAACTAACATTGTGAAATATTTTCATAACGTATCTGTTAATAAACTTTGTTATGTAGATCTTTCATAAATATGGTCTAATAATAAAATTAATTTATGTAAAATATCACATTTGATTAAACTATCATTTAAAAGTTAACTAACCTTATGAAACCTTTTTGTAATGTAACCGTTAACAAAAAATTTATGTAATCTTTCATAATGTGTGGTCTAATAATAAAATACAGTTATGGAAAATATCATATTTGAATATCATTCTAATATGAGGAATTGAGTATAGGAGATAAAATGTTATGTAAGAAAATAATTGATTTTGAAAAATCAGTGTACAATGTAAATAAGGAAGAGCTTACGATGAAATTGGGCTTAGGAAATTGAAATTATGTGAAATGTACCCCGTTGGGAATCTATTACTTACATTGCTCCTATTTAAACTGTCATGTAGAAGTTAACTAACATTACGGAACCTTTTCGTAATATAAATTGACGACATGATGAATATTTTATTTAAAAATGAAATATTGTTAGTCAATAATCAAGAAAATAAATTCTGAACAATGTGACATTGATGAAACTGTTATAGGGAAATAACCTTTGTGTAATCCAATTTGATGTGATAGTCAACAGTTTAGTTAATAATAAATAATTTTTCATTCAAAGTTATATTATGAAGTACTTACGTAATGAGTTTATTTAATTAATACATAATAAATAACTATCCTTTTATAGCTACTATGCAAGTCCTAATCATTATGGATGACTTATCTTTCTTTTTTTCGACAATAGATGAATTATGGATGGCTTATCTATTGTGTAATTGATACATAAGAAATAACTATCACTCCGTAAAATTTGCATATTGTATTCGTAATTTACGCAACTCATATCGAGCAATGTTACGTAAATCTTTCGTAATGTGTGGTCAGTTGATAAGATTTATATAAGAACCTAAGATAAAATTGGGTATAGATAATAGAAACTCTTGTGAACAGTACCCGTTGATTTTTTTTAATTACCTTGTCCCTATTTTTCGTATACTTATATAAGAACTTATGATAAAAATTGGGTATATGTAATAGAAACTCTTGTGAACAGTACCCATTGAAATTTTTTAATTACCTTGTCCCTATTTGCATAGTAAACTAATGCTTGGCATGCTTGGTCTTTTAATATAATAATCTACGTAACTTTTATAGAACAGTATTACATAAATTTTTCATGATGTGTGGTTACTATATAAGATTTAGATATTGTATTCGTAATGTACCTAACTTTTATTGAACAGTGTTACGTAACTCTTACGTAATTTGTGGTCTAATAATAAAATAAAGTTACGAAAAATATCATATTTGAATAACATTTAGTATATGGGATTAAGTGTAGGAGATAAAATGCTATGTAAAAAAAATTATCTTGCAAAATTATTGTATAATGCAAATTAAAAAAGAGCTTACGGTGAAATTGGGTATAGGCAATAGAAGCTCTTGTGAACAGTAATTTATGGTCTAATAATAAAATAAAGTTGTGAAAAATATCATATTTGAATAACATTTAGTGTATAGGATTAAGTGTAGGAAATAAAATGCTACATAAAAATAATTGATCTTGCAAAATTATTGTATTATGCAAATAAAAAAGAGCTTATGGTGAAATTGGGTATAGGGAATAGAGGCTCTTGTGAACAGTATCGCTGGGAATTTTTTAATTACCTTACCCTACTTTTTCGTATGCAACAGTAAATGGTTGCTTGGGCTTTTAATATATTGATGTGAGGGTTCGATCTCTAGGAAGTTGTACAAAAGCTAGAATGACGTATTAGGGTTAGGATAACCAGTGGCGGACCCAGAAATTTTCCATAGGGGTGTCATCTTTTAAAAATAAATTAAATAAAAATAATTAATAAAAATAAAATCGTAAATTTGAAAATACCTTACTCGTACAGGTTAAAAAAGTCCATGATTTGTTTTCATATTCGGAAATAATTGTAGAATACACTTAGTGTCTATAGTGTTAAAAAAAACTTGTCTCTATATACCCTACTAGACAATCATTCACGAACTTATCGCATATTCGACTTGTAAACTTGTTCTCGATGTAACCCAAAGCTGAAAGACTCTTTCAACACTTGTCGTATTAAGGGTAGCTTGAAATTAGTTAAATTGTTAGGTTTTTAAAATAATTAGAGATAGGAAATGACATTTTACTATTACATTTTTCAAAATCGAACAACAAATGAGTTGTAGGTCAACGAAAATTAAGTTTATTAATACGAATAGTGTTCTAGATTTGAATTACCCAATCTACCACTTATATTCCTATACACAAATGACAATAGGATAATCATGTTTTCAAATTTAAGGGGTGTCCCTCATTATCAATTATATATTTTCTTGTCCATACTTAAATTACCACCGGGGGTTGAATAATCGTATTTCCAAAATTTAGGGGTGTCCGGGGACACCCCTAAAACCCCCTGGGTCCTCCCCTGAGGATAACCAAACACTATCAAGACCAATATCTAAGTTATGATGAACTTGAGAAAAGTGACCAAGAAATCCGCAGGATGATAGAAATGAGTGAGGCTAACATCTAGAGGTAACGATTCTCAATCCAATCCACCAACCTATTAAAAATATCCATCTAATCCAATCCATTTGATCCAAATTCAATTGGATTGGTGGATTCATGAATTGATCCATGGATCTAAATGGCAAATTACTGTTTGGTACCTATACTTTTTATATTTTACATTTTGGTACCCAAAATTTATTATTTTATACGAAAAATATCATTGGAAAATTACGCTTTGGTACCTAAACTTTTCACATTTTACATATTGGTCATTGGTTGGGGATGTCATCTGGATTCATGGATAATCCACCAATCCATGGATCAATCCATTTGCCACCTCTACTAACATCTTATCAGTTCAAGCATATATAGGCTTGATAGTTGGGATGTAGAAAAAGCTCAAATGATCACAATCATTTGTGGAGGTAATATGTATAGTGGTCATAAACTATGTCTACATAGTACACTGTGAAGATTCAGAAAACAAACTATGAGATCCTTATAATGTCCTTATCGTTGTATTAGGTCAAAACGACTAACAATATCAACATCCAAATTGATGATAAAAGTTTTGATAAAATGGTGGTCATCCATTGTATCTGTGCCTCCTACGATCTTAAATGGAGGTAAATTGATGACGAAACCATATGTGTCAATCCAAACCCATAATCTCTTCACATATCCTTCCTTTTCGAATCTTGTTCACTCGTTCGTAGAACTAAAACTTGCTACACAGGTTTTCAGATGTTGCTCACCCATAGATATAGATCTATTTTTCGACGAGGAAACTTCTTGTGTTTCAATTTTAATAGATTTCACATTTGACTTCTAAAACAACGATTAATAACACGGTTCACACCTCTCCAAACACATTTGACTTTTTGGTGTTGAGTTGAACTTCATCCAAGTCTTGTCGCCTTGTCCTAACTATATGAGGTTGAAGCCTCCTTGCCTTGTATTTATGATGAAGTCTTGATCACACCCTTGACGCCCTCAATTACTCCATACTTAGATTTTTTGTTGCTCTCGTCTTGTTGACCATCTTGATGAAACCATCTTATTAGCTAGGCCTTGTTACCCACTCTAATGGGATGAGAACTTAATTTCCACACCTAAATACATGACAACTGAATCATCAAGATCCCATACTTAATCTCATAGAGCTTGACATGGCTTCCCACCAAGCTCGTCTTGTCGGCATGCCAGCTAGTTCATCTAGCTAGCTTGTTGCCATGTCATCTTTACACCAAGTATCTCATCCGCTTCATACCTAACTAACTCGTTGGATTGCTACCTCGTCACCTTGCCGGTAAGCCCGACTCGATACCCGATTATCTTATCGGCAAGTCACTCTTGTCAGCTTAACAAACTCATCTCCTCATATTGGATCTCCATACTAAGTTTTTTTTTAGAATCGTCAAGTTGGTACGTATCTTGTCACCTTGTCACCAAGCCCATGTAATTAACTTGATATTTCACAACCTTGCCATCTTGGTACGTTGTACCCTATCGACTATCACCAAGCCAGTATAATCAACTTGATACATTGTCTCCCACATTGTCTGATCTATATTTCTAGATCTGGTTTGGGCTTTCTCTTTCTTGGGTTTAAAAATTGCAACTTGGAGCGCTCTAATGGAGTTCTGATGTTGGGGGTATGCTCCTGGTTGGTGTGCTTATCTTCTCTGGTGAGCAGATTCACTAGTCTACCCTTTCGCCTACCTCTGGTATGCTTGTGTGCTTCCTCAATGCTCAAATGAAGTGGTGTCGTTTTTGGTTGTCGTTGGCGGTGTTTCTTTGACTCTCTAGAGATAGTGAAGTTGTTTCTTCATATGTCCAGATCATGGTTAGCCTTCCCTCCGGCTCCATCGGCTTGTTCAGCTCAGAGCATTCCAGTGTTAGCCCGCTCGCCGCCAAGTAATCTCTTCCACAAGATTCTCTGTAATGTGTATAAGGATAGGAGCCTCTCTCCTAAGGGAAGACCCCTTGGGGTGACCCACTTTTGTGGGGAGAGTGAGAAACTAACGAACCACTACACGGGCGCGCGCAC